TTTTTTTTTAGCTCGTAACTCTCCAGGTAGTAACTGCCTGCCTCATACTCCTCTGGTTTGTGCAATAGCAAAGGCCTGTGTTGTTTAATCCATCATTAAGCTTGGCGTGTGAGGTACTGATGATTTAGTGGTACAATTCTTGCTTCCTTCCCGGGCGGGAGACCCAAGCTTGCTTCTGGCTCATGTTCTGCGTACACAGCCACCTGTGTGTCAGCTTGGTATACTGTGGTGGCTTATGTGTTGCTAGGATGCTGGACAGGTGGCACCAAGTTTCCCCGACTAAAGAGTAGGAAGCAAGGCCTCGTCACCTGCATCGGAAAACCAACCATTGGAAACCTTATGGATCATAATGGTCTGATGTGTAAAGGATCACATGGATGGCACATGGCTGGCCAGGGATTCCTTCTGCTGGGCTGGGCATGGGGTACCTGAGTTGTAGCCAACTCAACAACGCATTGATGACAACAGCAGCTCTGGGGCTTCAGTGTTCTGCAGTCACTTGAAAACGGAATTTGGCTTTGACATCTGTGATGGATGAGCAGCTTTTAGGGGTCTTGCAGCTTAGTTCTGACCGCAGGATAGCAGGGCAGCTCTCCCTACTGCTGTGGCTGAAGATGTGCATGGTTGGCCAAACTATCTGGCAAACAATTGAGGGGATTTGGGCCCTTAATTTGTGACGTGACTGCCTGCATTTGTGTGCTTGTTGGGGGTGGGGAGGTGGGGGTGGTGGAGAGAAAGAGAGAGAGATTGGTCCACTAGAGGTCACCCTGAGGGTAGGAGAGTTGTGATTACTCCAGTGCTTCTGGGAACAGCATGCATTTATCCCCATTTTCTCAGGGGACAGCTGCCCTCCTTGTTGAAGGAAAACAGTTCCCCAGGTTCCACAACAGAGCCTTGTGCCCCAAAGTCCAGAATTTGGTGGGCTGATCTTTCTGATTGGAAGGCGATAGCAGCCAGTTGGGAGCCACGGAACCACAGCTGGTACAGAGAGATGAGTGTGGTGACTAGGGGAATGGTGGAGAGTGCCGCAAACTCCAGAGGCCATCCTTCCGAATGTGCGCGCCCCCAGTGTTGCGCTGACCGGCTGAGCAGGGCCCCCAGAGACAGATCTCCGGACCTCCAGATCCCCATGGGTCCTGTGGCGGTGACCGCTGTCACAGCAAGTCACTTCAAGGTTTCCTGGATTCCTGAGTCCTCTCTGGGTTGTTGACGTCAAGTGTGTTGCTGTGCAGGCAGGACAACGTGGATGGAGAGAAGTCACATTTGGCAGTCAGAGACGTGGTTCCATTAGCCAGGTGCATGCCCTTTGTCTCCCCTGGGAATGATCTTCAGTACGCACCCATTATTTCTTGTCACTGAGACACGGATCCCCTTCTGGCACCAAGAGATGCGTGAGCCAACGTGCGGTTGCCAACCTGCAAGTTTTCTGAAAAGCTTGGGTGAGCAAAGTAGTTGCTTTACAGCTTTTTTTTTTTTTAGGCTTCATGACTGTATAATGTCACACAGTGAGCTATATATATTTCCAGAAACACACCTACAAAGCCAGGCAAGCGTGGTCATGAAAACATATGCCCTCCCCACATGTTATCGTTGACTATTTGAAACTCTACCTGCCCCCCTTGACGTTTCCTCAAGGCAAACCTGGTGTCGCTTCGCTCACAGTGAATTGGCGTGCAGTTAATGTTTACGAGTGCAATCCCTAAGTCTTTGCTCATCTCCCCCTGTCTTCACACTACCTAATCATGCTGACGTTCATTGCGGATGCTTATGCGGACGGCTTATTTTTATTCCTGAGTAGTGTTGTAGGTGGATAAGTTGTTTGTGCCAGAGTCCGTCCGGACTCATAGTGACCCGGTGTGCCTCACAGTGACCCGGTGTGCCTCAGAGCAAAGCACTGCCCGGTTCTGCCCCCTCGCAGTCCGTGCTACCTGTCAGCCCTTCCTTGGTCCCAGTGTGTCACCCATCCTGGGTTTTTTTTGGACCCTCCACCAAGCGTGATGTCCTTCTCCAAGGACTGGTTCATCCGGGTAACGTGCCCAAAGGATTTGAGAGGAAGTCTCACTGGCCCTGCTCCTGGGTAACATTCTGGCTGTACTTCCAGAGGGTGCGCGGTACAGACTTTGTTCCTTCTTGTGGCCGGCCCTGATACGCTCAGCAGTCGTTGCTACCCTGATACGCTCAGCAGTCGTTGCTAACACGCTCATGGAAACATTGATGGAAACATCAATGGATGCTTGTCTTCCTTGTTCACCATCCAGCTTTCACGGGCTTCTGAGGTGACTACAATGCCGCGAGTTGGGTCAGGTGAACCTCATTCTCACCAGGACCACTTTGGTTGCTAGTACCTTGAGGCTTTTTGCAGGCGATTTGCCCGATGCGCTGCATTGTTGAATTTCTGGACGGCTGCTTCCATGCGGATTGTGTGTGAATCCAAGAAACGGGAGATCCTTGACAACGTCCATGTTTTCGCTGCGGATCGTGATTTGCTTATTGATCCAGTTGAGAGATTTTGTTTTTCTTCCGAGTGAGATGTCATTCACACCGTGGTCTGTGGTTTTGGAGCTTCATCAGTAAGCGCTTCCAGGTCCTCCGGCTTTCAGCAGGCAGGCTGTGGCTTCTGCACTCCGCAGGTGGTTAATGAGTCTTCTCTAAGCCTGATGCTGGTTCTTCTTAGGAGAGTTCTGCTTCCCAGTTCATTTGTTCAGCACACAGATTGGATAATGATGGGAACGGGTCCAACCCCAGCCACACACCTTTCCTGATTTTAAACAACACAGCCTCCCGTTGCTCAGTTCAAATGACTGCCTCTTGCGCTATGTACGGGCTGGACACAAGCCCAGTTAAGTGCTCCAGATGCCATTCTACACACTTTGCTGAGTTCCACTCAGCAAAACACCTTCGTCCGTAAACCGCAAGTAAACATCCTTCCAGTATTGTTTTCAGCCAAGATCTATCTCACGGTAATGCCATCTCTCATTACCCATCTTCTTTCCACACTGCACGCCCTTGAAACGGGTGAACATAGACCAGTTCTTTTTGGTACAGGGACTGTGCATCCTGTTTCCTGCTTTCAATACTTTGCCCCTGAATTCTTCAGTATTACAGCCGAAAGCTTGAAGTTTCTCTTGAGTTCTTTCAGCTTGAACATGGACAAGTGTTTTCTTCCCTTCTGGGTTTCTCTCCCTTCATATCTTCGCACAGTTCGCTTTACTTCCCTTTGTCCCCTCGATTCTCCCTTTTGTCAACAACCGATTCAGGGGGTTTTCTCCCTTGCTGCTTCTGTTTGCTTTCACTACCCTACCTTCAAGAGCACGACTTAGAATCTCTTCCGACATCCGTTTTGCTCTTTCTTGCCTTCCTGTCTTTTCACAACATTTCTTTTTTCAAGTATGATGTCTTTGATGTGATCTCTCACAACTCCCCTAGACTTTGGTCGCTAGTGTTCCGTGTGTCAGAGCTGTACCAGAGATGGTCTTTCAGGCTAGGGGGCGTATACTGAAGTACTCTGACTTAAACCTCGGCTTGTTTTCATTTTCCTCAGTGTCGTGAACTTGCATTTGAGCATTGATGGTCTGTTTGGCAGATGGTCCCAGCTTTGTTTTGATGAATGATATTGAACTTTTCCATCATCTCTTTCCACGGAGGTAGTCGATTTGATTTCCGTGTATTAAAACCAGTGAAGTCCAAGTATATAGTCGCCATTTGTGTTACTGAAAAGATGTTTGCAATGATTAGTTGTCAGCCTCACAGTTTTATCAATCTCCAGAGTAATTTCTATCACCAAGGCCATATTTTCCAACTACCTATCCTTCTTTGTTTCCAACTTCTAGTCACCAGCTAGCTGTGCATTTTGCTTCATATTCGACCAATTTGAAACTGAAGCATTTGGTAAAATTCTACTTTTCATATTTGGCACTAATGGTTGGTATGTAAATTTGAATGAAAGCCATATTAACGATCGTCCATGGAAGTGCTTGAATATTATCCTATTACTAACAGTGTTGTGCTTTAGGTAGATCTTGAAATGTTATTTTTGACAATGTGACACCATTATTCTTCAGTTTGGCATTCCAGGCAAAGTAGACCATTTGATCACCGTGACTAATACCAGGCTATTTCAGCTCACTAATGTGCAGGGCATCCGTCTTTTATGGCTTGTTTCTTTTTTAAAATAAA